TAAATATTTATACAAAAGGATGTAAAGTGTAGTGTTATTTTAATTAGAAAAAATATATTAAAATAGATTGTTGACATATTCAATAATTAGGGACCGGTAAATTATAGTAAGTCTGACAATACTACGAAGCCAACAAAACTGATGTCATAGAGGAATACTTAACTAGGGAAAGGTTCTAAATAAATGCAGAAAGGTTTCACAACAGTATCTGTAGCATTAAACAAGATAAACCACACCTTAAACACAGTATATTGCTGTTTAAAAAAATAAAAGTCACATCTATCAAACATGTCACTAAAATTTGCTCTAAGTTTCAAGGCTGACAGATCCAATGCTTGAAGGTTCTATGTTACTCAATTAGATCATGCAGAACAAGTCAGTAATACTACTAGGCAAAAATGGCTGTGGCTCTGCTTCAGCATGTTCTGCCAAGATACTGCCCAATCATGGAACTGTAGAACAGCTGTGACATCATCTTCAGGATGAAGTTTAAGTACTTCCCTACTTCTTTATGGGGTTACCACCCATTTGGCATGAAAGCTTTTGCAATCTCATAAATACTACAAAGATACACACACAAACACTTCACCTAAGGGAGTCCACCGTCTCAACGAGCTATGAGCCCCATTCTCATAAAATCTGCTTATTCTTTAAAGCCTAATAAAGATTGTAAGAACAGTTTACAATCAGTTATGTAAAGATGTTAAGGAAAATAGTAACCAACAGAAAAGTAAGGCAGTACTAACTAAAATGGTAACTGGGCTTAGAAGCATCTTCCTGAAATCCCAGCATTTTTTTTTTTTTTTTTTTCGAGACAGAGTCTCGCTCTGTCACCCAGGCTGGAGTGCAGTGGCACAATCTCAGCTCACTGAAAGCTCCACCTACCGGGTTCACGCCATTCTCCTGCCTCAGCCACCCAAGTAGCTGGGACTACAGACGCCTGCCACCACGCCCGGCTAATTTTTTGTATTTTTTGTAGAGACGCGGTTTCACCATGTTAGCCAGGACGGTCTCAATCTCCTGACCTTGTGATCCATCTGCCTCGGCCTCCCAAAGTGCTGGGATGACAGGCGTGAGCCACCACGCCTAGCCAATCCCAGCAGTTCTTACAAGAGAGTAAACTAAAAAGTAACCTGACACAAGTATAACTGAAGCCTTTATTTGGTGGTTTGTTCACCAGCTGAGAACTAGGATACAGGCTTATCAAGAGTCTTTATGGAATGGGTTTTTTTTATTTTTTGATTTGAGACGGAGTTTTGCTCTTTCACCAGGCTGGAGTGCAGTGGCTCAATCTCAGCTCACTGCAACCTGTGCCTTCCTGGTTCAAGCAATTCTCCTGTCTCAGCCTCCCGAGTAGCTGGGATTACAGGCACCCACCACTACGCCCAGCTAATCTTTGTATTTTTAGTAGACACAGGGTTTCACCACGTTGACCAGGCTGGTCTCAATCTCCTGACCTCATGATCCGCCCACCTCAGCCTCTCAAAGTGCTAGGATTACAGGCATGAGCCACCGCACCCGGCTAATGGTTCAAAGCCACTGCACTCCAGCCTGGGCAACAGAGTGAGACTCCATCTCAAAAAAAAAAAAAAAACCATTAGTTAGCTTACCAAAGACCCTAAATTCTGTTTATTATTGCATTCATTCTATGAAAACATTAAAAGGCTGGTCAATTCCAACATAGGAATCTTACACCTACATATCAGGTTCAATTATCATTAACTGAACCACTCTAGCAAACGTAATCAAAATACATACTTGATTAAAAGCTGAATTTTTTTTTTTTTTGAGATGGAGTTTCACTCTTGTTGCCCAGGCTGGAGTGCAATGGCATGATCTCTGCTCACTGCAACCTCAGCCTCCCAGGTCAAGCGATTCTCCTACCTCAGCCTCCCAAGTAGCTGGGATTACAGGCATGCACCACCATGCCCGGCTAATTTTTTTGTGTTTTTAGTAGAGACGGGGTTTCACCACGCTGTCCAGGCTGGTCTCGAACTCCTGATCTCAGGTGATCCGCCTACCTCGGCCTCCCAAAGTGCTGGGATTACAGGCGTGAGCCACAGCGCCTGGCCAAAAGCTAAATTAACAAAACTCAAATTTGCGACTGGTTCAGACAGTCTCCCTCTGTCGCCCAGACTGGAGTGCAGTGGCGTGATCTCACCTCACCGCAACCCCTGCCTCCCGGGTTCAAGAAATTATCCTGCCTCAGACTCCCAAGCAGTTGGGATCACAGGTGCCCAAAACCACACCCAGCTATTTTTTTTATTTTTTTAGTATTTTTTTTTGGTTTTTTGAGACAAAGTCTCGCTCTGTCACCCAGGCTGGAGTACACTGGCACGATCTCAGCTCACTGCAAGCTCCGCCTCCCGGGTTCACGCCATTTTCTCACCTCAGCCTCCCAAGTAGCTGGGACTACAGGGGCACATCACCACGCCCGGCTAATTTTTTATATTTTCAGTAGAGACGGGGTTTCACCGTGTTAGCCGGGGTGGTCTTGATCTCCTGACCTCGTGATCTGCCCACCTCGGCCTCCCAAAGTGCTGGGATTACAGATGTGAGCCACCGCGCCCAGCCCTTTTTTAGCATTTTTAGTAGAGATGGGATTTCACCATGCTGGCCTCAAACTGCTGACCTCAAGTGATCTGCCCGCCTCTACCTACCAATGTGCTGGGATTACAGGCAAGAGCCACCCACGCCCAGCCTGCTACTCCATGTGTAAACCCGTATTTCTTCATCTGACCCCAGCAATGCAAAATTGAAAAGAAAATGAACCCGAATTTCTCCACACATACAAGTCTATCTTAACAACTATGCTGTGCATTAAATTCATCATTTCCTTCCTGCTTTTAATCACAAGATGTAGGACAGAATTTTATTAGAAAGACTAATAAGATAGTACACATTTCAAGTGGATAAACGAAGCACCTAGATGCCCCTCACACATTTATAAATCTGCTATGCCTAAAAGATCATGGCCTCCTTACTTGTCCCTCTAGAATCAGGAGCCTGATGACCACTTTAGAGCCCTTCAGATGTCTAGCAAAAAGCACCAATAAACTACTTTTTCTATAAAATACTGTAAATTTTATTTATTTTTGAGACAGAGTCTTGCTCTGTTGCCCTGGCTGGAGTGCAGTGATGCAATCATGGCTCACTACAGCCTCAAACTCCTGGGCTCAAGTGATCCTCCTTCCTCAGCCTCCAGAGTAGCTAGAACAGGTGTGTGCCACCATGCCCAGCTAATTTTTTTTTTTTTTAAGAGATGGGGTCTTACTACACTGCCCAGGCTAGTCTTAAACTCCTGGGCCCAAGCAATCCTCCTGCCTCGGCCTCCCAAAGTGTTGGGATTGCAAGCATGAGCCACCACACCAGGCCAAAATATGGTAGTTTTTTTGGGGGGGCGGTGGGGAGATGGAGTTTAGCTCTTGTTTCCCAGGCTAGAGCACAATCTCGGCTCACCGCAACCTCTGCCTTTGGGGTTCAAGTGATTCTCCTACCTCAGCCTCCCAAGTAGCTGGGATTATAGGCATGTGCCACCATGCCTGGCTAATTCTGTACTTTTAATAGAGATGAGGTTTCTCCATGTTGGTCAGGCTGGTCTTGACCTCAGGTGATCTGCCCACCTTAGCCTCCCAAAGTGCTGGGATTACAGGTGTGAGCCACTATGCCCGGACTAATAGTTCAACTATTAAATTGTGGGGAAGAGAGGAGTCACTGACAAGTATAACTCCATTTCTTATTAATCTGTACACATTGGAAGGTAAAATAGCAACTAACCCTACTTTAACTATATACCTCCAAGAAGATTGTACCGACGAGCCATTCTTCCACCGCTAAAAGGAGTAAGTTCTCATAGAGCCGCCTAACAATGCCTCAGATCCTAGATCACATATAAGATCCCTACGAGTTCTTAACAAATTTAAGGAAAACAATGTTTGTTAGACTTTATTTTATATTTGAGATTCATCAGCTCAGGATTCTCTCAACCATTAATATATATATCTTCAAAGAAAAATTTCTCCTTGCCCATAATCTTTTCACCTATTTTAGGCCAGCTGCAGTGGCTCACACCTGTAATCCCAGCACTTTGGGAAGAGGCAGGGGCAGATCACTTGAGCTCAGGAGTTCAAGAACAGCCTGGGCAACATGGTAAAACCCAGCTCTACAAAAAATATGAAAAACTAGCCGGGCATGGTGGTGCATGCCTGTGATCCCAGCTACTCATGAGGCTGAGATGGGAGGATCACTTGAGCCCAGAAAGTGGAGGCTGGAGTGGGCCAAAATCATGCCACTGCACTCCAGCCTGGGCAACAGAGTGAGACCCTATCAAAAAAAAATGTAAGTATAAATCCCAGATAATATATGACTATCTGCTCCAACCAGTTTTGTCATCCTTTTATAATGCTAAAGTTTACATTCACTCAATATTCACAAACGCTACCAACTCTTTCAAATTCAACTCTAGTTTGAATCCATTCCTCATCATTCTGCCCAAGATTCCCACTTGTTACAGAGGAATCAGAAAGTGACTCTTTTACACCGCCAATTGTCACAGGGAAGACAGAAGTGATTTCAAGAGTTGGTGACGATATATTGACTCTTGAAAATAACCACAAAACCCCAGCGAAGCCAAGTTAACCCAACAGAGGAATTTCGATTTTTCTCTTCCATATTATAGCCTTAATCTTCTGCTTTAATTTCTATGGTTTTATCACTTCCATTACCCCTCTGCATCTCTTTTGACTCATTATTCACCTCTTTCTGCATTGTGTACTGTTTCTGCTTTCCTTTCAAAGTTCATGTTTCTGTCCTCTACTAATGTTCTCACATACCTTCACATTAGGGTTCAAGTATCAGAACCAATTATACTTCTATAAAGTCTTGAACTGTTAAGTGATACTGTATTCATTTACAGAGTTTTTAATAATGGTTCACTATATATAATACTTCTGTTCTAATTCCTCCTTCCCTAAAAATCTTAAGAATGTTAAGTGAGTTACCTTTTTAACACTTTCTTCTTCCTCTTGGCGTTTCTCATAGTGTGAGAAGTCATCAAAAATGGAAGTGGTGTGCTTGTAGCTGGCTATAATTTTCAACACCTGCTTAGCTTTTTCCAGAGGCACTTCCTGAGTGTCCCTAGAGTTGGTCACTGGTTTGTTCTCGTTGTTCTCTAGGCGAATGTGTCGCAGTTGGCTATTGGGAACGTCCTTCACAAAAATCCACCTGACATCAAAACGACCCTTCCATTTGTCCTGGGACCACACACCTGCACATGTGTTGTAGTCCACAGCAGATTTCATTTCTGCAACGCCACAGAAGTGTCCACTGCCGTTGACACTGAAAAGTAAGTAAACGGGGCCTTTCCCGTTCATGGAACGATAAGCAGCATCCAGTCTCTTGTTACCATGCTCTGTGCTGCACCAAATATTATACTTAATGGAACGGTGAATATCGTCCTCAGAGTAGCTCTTAATGATGAAAACCCGGCCATGTTTCAGATTCCAGTCAAAATCTTTGGGGTTATAGTTATTAATGGACCGAAGCTTCTCCAACACTGGGTGGGGTTCTGAAGGAGTAGATCCAGAACCAGCCTGAGACTGTCCTACTCCATTACCATCCACCCCATTATGACCGAACCCACTGCCACGGTTCCGAGGTGCTACCCAGCGGGTTGGCTGAGCTGCCTGTTGCTGGACTGAAAGCTGGGCAGGCTGTGGTGGAGGTGGAGGCAATGGCTGTGTCTGTTGCCCTACTGATGCCTGAGCCACTGGTGGGCTATTGTTAGCCTGCTGACCTACAGGCTGAGGAGACCCCTGGGTTGGCTGACCTATATTCTGAACCAAAGCCTGTGAGGGGGCTTTTGCAACAGGACCCTTGTTATCCCAAGTTCCAATATCCATGTTATGCTTTATCGGGGGTGGCGGAAGACTTGACCCTGCAATGCCATTCTTCGTCTTCAGTTTAGGTTGCTGTTTTGCAGGCTTGCTAGCAATATCAGCCCAAGATGCTGGTTTTGGAGGAGCAATGGTAGCTGGAGGCAAACTATTGGAAGCCACGATGTTACTAGTAATGGACCCACTACCAACAGCAGAACCTACAACTTTTGGAACATTGCTTGCAACTTCTGTGCTACCCAACTTCAGTGCTGCCATCCCTTGGTCTATAGTATTCATGCCAGGAGCCTTATTGAGGGTCTCATTGGCAAAAGCTGACTGTCCATCAATCATGGCTCCACCTAAGGAGCTAGGTGCATAAGCATAATTGCTACTATATCCAGAGCTCTGAGTAGACTGTCCCTGAGAACTGTTATTTCCCCATGCTGAGAAGTCAATCCCACTGGGAAAGAAATTAAAACCATGTTGACCAAGAAATGGAGTGCTACCTAGGGCTCCTGGTTGCCCAAACATTGCATCTGGTAGGAAGTGGGGCTCTCCGTTGCTCAGTTGTCCATAAGAAGTTAAGTAGGGCATGGCTGTGTCACCCCCAGTAGACCAAGCAGCTTCACCCAAAGAATAGGAGAAGCCAATGGAGGGACTGTAGTAACTGGGTAAGTAGGAATCTGACATGGCAGTATATGCATTATTCTGTGGAAGAAAAAAAAAAGGCAAATCAAAACACAAAGAATTATTATCAGGCTCTTTCCTCCCCCCACCTAGCTACACAATTCAAATATACTATAAAAAGGAGTGTGCGGGCTGGGCATGGTGGCTCACACCTGTAATCCCTACACTTTGGGAGGCAGAGGCGGGCAGATCACCTGAGGTCAGGAGTTCAAGACCAACCTGGCCAACGTGATGAAACCCTGTCTACTTGGGAGGCCTGAGGCAGGAGAATCACTTGAACCCGGGAGGCGGAGGTTGCAGTGAGCTGAGATTGCACCACTGCACTCCAGCCTGTGGGCAACAAGGGTGAAACTCCATCTCAAAAAAAAAAGTGTGTGCAGCACATCAGATGATTTCCTATAAACACAAGGGCATTTTTTATATCATAAGAAATTCTGGTGTAGTAATTGAAACATTTAAACATTTAAAGTTAAGCTGATACAGTGAATATGGGCCTTAGCTTTAGCACTACAACTAAGAGAAAACTTAGCATTTCACAAACTAAGTCCTGAATATTGAGGTAATCCTTTTAGCAACTACCTACGCGAACCAGGTAATAATAAAATAGTAACAAAAAGAAATGGAAATGTCAAGTTCTAGCCCAAATGTCTGTAGTCATTTCTCAATCATAAACCCAAAAGCAAGATTCACTACCAGTTTATAGTGCTAGCCTCTTGGCAAACTATCTGGGAATATCAACAGATTCCACTACTTAGTTATAACCTGAAAAGGAAATGCACAGTGGTTTCCGGAGGATGTAAAATGAGAAAAATGGCTGGGTGCAGTGGCTCCCGCCTGTAATTCCAGAACTTTGGGAGACAGAGAGGAGTGGATGACTTGAGGTCAGTTCGAGACCAGCCTGGCCATCATGACAAAACCCAGTCTCTACTAAAAATACAAAAAATTAGCCAGGCATGGTGGCACACACTTATAGTCCCAGCTACTCAGGAGGCTGAGGCAGTAGAATCTCTTGAATCCAGGAGGCAGAGGTTGCAGTGAGCCCAGATGGCACCACTGCACTCCAGCCTGGGCAACAGAGCCAGACTGTCTAAAAAATAAATAAATAAAAACAGGCCGGGTACGGTGGATTACGCCTCTAATTCCAGCACTCTGGGAGGCTGAGGTGGGCAAATCACTTGAGGCCAGGAGTTGGAGACCAGCCTGGCCAATATGATGAAACCCCGTCTCTACTAAAAATACAAAAATTAGCCGGGCATGGCAGCACCCGCCTGTAATCCCAGCTACTCGGGAGGCTAAGGTGGGAGAATTGCTTGAACCCAGGAGATGGAGGTTGCAGTGAGCCAGAATGCACCACTGCACTGCAGCCTGGGCGACAGAGCAAGACTCCGTCTCAAAAAATAAATAAATACAAACATACATACATACATACATACATACATACATAAAACAAATGAATAAATACCTTCAAAAACCAAAAGTAAGTAATTTTCAGGGGGGGGGCCACGTATACATTACCAGATCATAGTAAATCAACCATTCTAAAGTGAAAGTTCTCTAAATACAAAATACCAGGGCCTGTATCCACTATCAGGCTGAGGGAGTGGTAAAGAGTCTGGCTCACACCTGGATAAGAGGAATTAAAAAAAAAAAAAAAAAAAAAAAAAAAAAAATTTTAGGTCAGGCGTGGTGGCTCACACCTGTAATCCCAGCACTTTGGGAGGCCAAGGCAGGCGGATGATGAGGTCAGGAGATCAAGACCATCCTGGCTAACATAGTGAAACCCCGTCTCTACTAAAAATACAAAAAATTAGCCGGGCATGGTGACGTGTGCCTGTAGTCCCAGCTACTCGGGAGGTTGAGGCAGGAGAATGGCATGAACCCAGGAGGCGGAGCTTGCAATGAGCTGAGACCGTGCCACTGCACTCCAGCCTGGGCGACAGAGCAAGACTCCGCCTCAAAAAAAAAAAAAATATTTTTAACAGACCCAAATCCATGTGTGTAAGAAATTCAGCCTATAATCAATGGATTAAACTTGAAGTATTATTCCAAAATAGGGTAATGAAAAGTTGGCAAAAAAGTAGATGACTTACTCTAGACAATAAACTAGATTCTCAGGTTACCCTTCCTCATCTACTCATCTAAGATTATTATATTATTACCCAAATTTTTTTTTTTTTTTTTTTTTGAGACGGAGTCTCGCTCTGTCACCCAGGCTGGAGTGCTGTGGCCGGATCTCAGCTCACTGCAAGCTCCGCCTCCCGGGTTCACGCCATTTTCCTGCCTCAGCCTCCTGAGTAGCTGGGACTACAGGCACCCGCCACCTCACCCGGCTAGTTTTTTTGTATTTTTTAGTAGAGACAGGGTTTCACCGTGTTAGCCAGGATGGTCTCGATCTCCTGACCTCGTGATCCGCCCGTCTCGGCCTCCCAAAGTGCTGGGATTACAGGCTTGAGCCACCGCGCCCAGCCAATTACCCAAATTTTTTTAAACAAAGACATTTAAGTTTTGGCTTACCTGAGAAAGAAAAATCAAATGCACTTAATATCATAGGTTATGCCAACATACAGTTGAATGTCTACACCTGAACTGGCAGGCTCCCACATGCTCAAGCTCAAAAATCTGAATTACACAATGTTTTACAAGAACTACCTAGAATTATGTTTCTAAATGCTCCCACTCTCCCTGTTATAATGATTATGTAAGCAAACTACTTCAATAGCAGGAACCTATTAATAGTTCATTCCTCTACTTCCTTCCCTACTTTTCCTGATTAACTGGTTGTGTTTTGTGAAAACTTTTTTCCAATCACTTGCTCAAGTGGTTTCTATACTTTTAACGTTAAAAATTTTACACAGGGATTCTACAAGTTTTATGTGATAATCAGATCCATATATGCGCATGCAATTATTCAGGACTACTAACTGTATTTCATACAGCATATCTTCAGAACTTATAAACTTCTTGACCTTTTAGGGCATTTTGGAAGACATATTGCCAATTTTCCTTTTGGCCTATTAATCTGGGGAGTTATATTAGTTACAACTATGTAACTATGTCTTTGGGATCAGAGATAATAACACAAAAGAACTGCTGAATCAAACAAGTTTCTACATGCACAGGTCATATTAGTATTTGAATCTACATACAACTTTACACTAAAAGATTACACCGCAAAAACCTCCAACATTACTGATCTTCGTTTGTGCTAAACAGTATTTTAACTTTCACTCCATTTTATAAATCCTATACCTCCCCCTTCAGTGAAAAATAAAGTTAGTCTCCACAGATGTAGATGTAGCTCAACTCAAAAATTTCCTGACTCAGCCGAGCATGGTGGCGTACACCTGTAATCCCAACACTTCTGAGAGGTCAAGGAGGGCGGACCTCTTGAGCTTAGGAATTCAAGACCAGATTGGGCAACATAGTGAAACCCCCGTCTCTACAAAAAACACAAAAAATTAGCCGGGCATGGTGGTCCCAGCTACTTGGGAGGCGGGCAAGATCACCTGGTAGGCTGAGGTTGCAGTGAGCCGAGATTGCACCACTGCACTCCAGCCTGGGTGACAAGAGTAACACTACGTCTCAAAAAAAATTTTTTTCCTAACTCCAAAATAGTTCTGATAATCTAAGAACCCATAAACTAGAGAAAAGAAAGAGATCCAGTCCTCCAGCACTGAATGAAGTTCAGGTGACTATTTTTTAAAGAACAGGTCTTGTTCTGTCACCCAGGCTGGAGTGCAGTGGCTTTTCACAGGTATGATCGTAGATAGCTCGCTGCAGCTTCAAACTTCTGGGCTCAAGAGATCTTCCCGCCTCCAGGTGATTTTATATTAGAACTTTCCCTATCACACTAATCCAAAGTTTTCTGGGGTGAAAATTCAGAATATTTAACACTTGCAAGAATTCCTAAATTCTGCACTGCTACTACATTCTTGGTAAGGAGGAAGATAATTATTCATGCATATGTTACTGCCAGTAATCAGTATTACGTTCTCAATACAGTATGTTTGCTGACATTACAGAGATGGGAATCTCAACAGCCTCGGACATTTTCAGTAACTGTTCTGTAACACATTAATAGGTATAAAGGAGGTGAACCCTCAGAGCATGAGATTTCCTGATAGAGGGCAGAGAAAAAATACAGGTATTAAGAAAGTGAATCCTCGGCTAGGCGTGGTGGCTTACGCCTGTAATCCCAGCAGTTTGGGAGGCCAGGCAGGTGGATCACCTGAGGTCAGGAGTTCAAGACCAAACATGAAACCCCGTCTCTACTTAAAAAAAAAAAAAAAAACAGGAAAACTAGCTGGGAGCGGTGGTGCACACCTGTAACCCCAGCTACTCAGGAGGCTGAGACAGGAGAATCGCTTGAACCCGAGAAGCGGAGGTTGGAGTGAGCCAAGATTGCGCCACTACACCCCAGCGTGGGCTACAGAGCGAGACTCAGTCTCGAAAAAGAAAAAAGAAAGTCAATCCTCAGAAAATGGGATGTATTGGTAGAAGGCAGAAAAAGAATATACTACATACACCCTTCGATCAGATATGTAAATAGTTAACTACTCACGGGCCTTGCCTGTGGACTCAAGTAAGGTTCAAAATCATCATCGTTTAATCCGTCCTTTTGATGTACAGATCCATTTTGTACTAAAGAAAAAAAAAACTCAATTAGGAGTGTCCGAATCCTATAATCTTCCTCTCAAATTAGTCCATATATGCTAACTAGAGAAAAACCTTACTAGTTAACAAAGCATGTAAGATTGAACTTCAAAAGGGTAAGAGATGAGAGTGAATGCTGAAGCGATAGTCGCCAGTGAAAATGTCCCCCTCCACCCAGAGCAAGTTGATCTAAAAAGGTCATTTTATTGGCTCCTCTGGATTTCCATTCCCTCCCGCTTCCCCTCCCCCATCACATGAGAGTACTTCCAGAGAGTGATCCACGAGGATGAAAAACAAAGGCCTTTTAAGACCTACAGGAAACTAAGGACCTGGAGCGTTTCAAAACCCAATCCACCCCCAACCTTAATGAATTACTCCTTGTTAGCGAAAAAGCTGTTCGCCAGCTGCAAGAACACACCGAAAGGGTCAAATACTTCAGTGTGCGGCACCTGCGAACTAAGCGGCTTCCGAAAGGTCCTCCGCCCGGGGCGCTTCCCGGAGACCCCGCCCCCACCGCCCCGCGTCCCCCTCCCGGCCCAGGGCCACCGGCGGAGCGGGGCTTACCTTTGTTTCCTTGACCTTTTGGTCTCTGCAGGGGAAGGAAACGTCGCCGAGCAGCAAGTTGTCCAAAGGAGAAATGGAAAAGGAAGAACAAATTAAGGCAGGGCCCGAAGGGAGAATAAAGGAGCAGGCCCGAGGGGAGGCGTCAGGAATGGTAGTGAGGAAGAGGCTGAAAATGGGAGGCGGGGGAGAGCGCCAGGCCCGCGGGGCAGGGAAGAAAACGCGGCAGACGCGCCAGCTGCAACGCGAGGAACCCAGGGCTTTAAGGAAGGGGAAGGAAACAAGGAAGGAAAACGAGGCCCGCTTAGAGAAGGGAACGCGGCGCGGCCCGGCCCGTGGGCTCCAAGGCCCGAGGAGAAGCGGGAAGAGCAGGCTAAGGGCGAGGCGCCGGGCGCGGCCGGCCTGAGAGGCCCGAAACCCGGCCCGCGAGAGGCGCCGCCTCGGCTCGGCCTGCCCGGGGGCGGCTGGCCCGGGCCTAGTCGGGCTCCTTCTCGCCTCACACAATGGCCGAGGCATGCGGGCCGGGCCTGTACCTGCTCCAAGAGGCTGCTGGCCGACATGGCTCTCGGATCCTCGCGGGCGGCGACGGCGGCGAACTCTCCTCAGCGCGGCGGCGGTGGCAGATGAGCCCCGGCTGCGGGAGCAGGCGGCGGCTTTTGTCCCTGACACTCGGGGGCCTCGGCGGACGCAGCGGAGACACAGCGCGCGGCTCAGGCTCCGGCTCCGACTCGGCGACGCTCTAGCCCAAGAGCTCAACGCCCGTCTCTATGCTTTTACGCGCGCGCCCGCCCCTCACCGCCGAAAGCAGAGCGCCGAACAGCGGAGGCGGACGGCGCGCGCGGCGCGAGCGCTGACTCTCACATTCACTCACCCACGCGGAAGGGGCCTGGCGCGAAGCACCCCGGGAAGGGAGAGGCCGGCCGCGGCGCCCTCTGGCGGATTGGAGGAGCGGAAGCTGTGCTCACGGCCTCCCCGCCCCCACCGCCCCGGGATTAAGGCCTAGGGGGTTGGGGACGACCAGGGTCGCACCACGAGGTTTTTGACTAACACCTGGAAAGACTAGCTTTGGCTTCAGAAAAACGACAAAAGCCGGTTTCTCAGTGAGGGAGGGGCCTCCAAAGCCCGCGAGACCTTAAAATGAACCTGCCTCCCAGCTGCAAGTGATACCCCACCCCCATCTGGGAGGTAACCCGACCCCTGGGGAGTCACACCGCCCTCAGGGAAACTTCTTGGGGGCCCTGTCCGGGAGTGACTCGCCCCCGCCCCCCGCGAGGGGCTTGGTCATCCTCCTCTGTTAGCAGACTACAGAAAGAGTACCAGAGAGCAAAACGCTCACTGAAAGAATCCAGTCTCCTGCAAAAGACGTTCACTCCTTAGCATTGCAGGAAGGAGAATCTACAATTTATTTTCGGGGAAATCGCTGGACCCCAAGATAATCTGTTCAACTGTGGACTTTATTTCCAAGAAAAATACACCTCACGCATCTACACAAAACTTTCAGGGAGTTCGGAGAACCTATGAATCGTAAGGACCTTAGGGAAGCAAGGAAATTAACGTTATTGAAATACCAGCTGTGGGTCAGGCTTTTTTAGGTATTTTCAAACACATTAAAGTCTTTCGACAACTTCAAAATCGCTATCAGTCTTTCGGTTTTTTACGACTGGAAAAACAGAAAGGTTAAGTAATGTGCCCAAGTTTACAAAGCTGTTAAATAGCCAGGTCTATCTGACACTAACATAATGGTATCTCTCTACCCCTATGAGAGACTCTATGTTAGGGAACCAGAATCTAGGGGAGATGCAAAGGATGGGCAAAAATATTTTCAATCAGAAGCAAAGCCAACTCATACAGAAATACCTGATACTAGGAAACCCCATATAATAGCTTTTGTTATTGCAAGTATGTCGTGGTAAACAGGTAACTAATGCACTAATTGTCAACTTCATACTATCCACACGCTGGATGGATATAGGAGGCTTGGGTGGTCTCCGTAGTAAAATAAATAACATGGCATCTTGGATTTAACATAATAATTTGGTCAAAGTGCTCAAAACACTTTTTTTCCCCGCTCATAATCACATTTATGGTAGGAATGAATAAGGTCAGGCGCCAAAGGTGAAGGACTTTTAATGGAGACAGTAAAATGTCAAGTCTGGGAGCACAGATTCCATCAAGGGAATAGAATAAACCTAGTAATACTTCTTTTTAAAAATACTCGGCCATGGCAGGTGTGGTGGCTCACGCCTGTAATCTCAGCACTTTGGGAGACCAAGGCGGGTGGATCATGAGGTCAGAAGATCGAGACCATCCTGGCCAACATGGTGAAACCCCAACTCTACTAAAAATACAAAAATTAGCCAGGCGTGGTGGCATGTGCCTGTAGTCCCAGCTAATCGGAGGCTGAGGCAGGAGAATCGCTTGAACCTGGGAGGCGGAGGTTGCAGTGAGCCAAGACCAGGCCACTGTACTCCAGCCTGGGGAACAAAGCGAGACTCCATCTTTAAAAAAAAAAAAAAAGGCCAGGCGCGGTAGCTCACACCTGTAATCCCAGCACTTTGGGAGGCCGAGGTGGGTGGATCACGAGGTCAGGAGATCAAGACCATCCTGGCTAACACGGTGAAACTCCGTCTCTACTAAAAATACAAAAAATTAGCCAGGGGTGGTGGCGGGAGCCTGTAGTCCCAGCTACTCGGGAGGCTGAGGCAGAATGAACCTGGGAGGCGGAGCTTGCAGTGAGCCGAGATCGCGCCACTGCATTCCAGCCTGGGTGACAGAGCAAGACTCCGTCTCAAAAAAAAAAAAAAGATAATCAGCCACTTAGCTCCATGGCCCAGATTTATGTATAAACTGTAAGCAGTTGCCTATACTTACCCTTGGAGGCAACATGGCATTGTAAAAACAACATTAGATGAGAAGTCATATGCTGGGAGACAAAGGGTCTAAATACTGGTTTCCCCACCCAGATATGCAATACTGGGTAAACAACTAAACCTTTCTTAGATTCCCTCATTTGATAAAGGGGATAATGGATAATGATACCTACCCAACAGGTTTGTCTTTAAGATAAACTTAACAAAAAAAAAAAAAAAAAAACAGCCGGGTGTGGTGGCTCACACCTGTAATCCCAGTATTTTGGGAGGCTGAGGCGGGCAGATCACCTGAGGTCAGGAATTCAAGACCAGCCTGACCAACACGGTGAAACCCCGTCTGTGCTAAAAATACAAAAATTAGCTGAGCATGGTGGCGGGCCCCTGTAATCCCAGCTACTCGGGAGGCTGAGGCAGGAGAATCACTTGAACACAGGAGGCGGAGCTTGCAGTGAGCGGAGATTGCGCAGTTGCACTCCAGCCTGGGTGATAGAGCAAGACTCTGCCTGAAAAAAATAAACAAAACAAGTAAAATTAATTTTTTTTAAAAAGCTGACATTAAAGCATGCGTGGCACAGTGTAAATTCATTTCCTATAATCCCATTAAATGATTTAAGTAAAAATTATTTCCCTCCAATAATATCTTTATGGTACCAGGGGTTTTGATTAGTTCCTTTGGGATGACTTTCTGTTTGCCAGAAGTTCCCAGTTAAAATGCAAATTACCCTTGAGAAAAGGGTAATCTCTAAACCTGGATTAGTTTACCATGATGGCTTTTAACAGGCCCCTAAAGAAACAGAACCCAGAAGACTGATATATTTAATCACTGGAAAGAGAGAGGGGAAGTTGGAATATGTGGTGTCATTTCATGGTTTGAAGAAAATAATACTATACTGGAAATGTTTAGGTTCTAGTTTCAGCTCTGCCACTGGGTAAATGAAGCATTCAATCTCTCTTTCAACAAATATTTATTGAGGGCCAGGCAGTGTGCTGGGGAGAAAGTTCATTTCTCCTTGAAGCAGACTAGCCAGGGAAACTGAGACTACGCAAATAGCTTTCAAATTACAGTTGTGGAAAGTGCAATGAGGAAGTACAGACAGGTATAACCTCCTCAGAGTAGCCTCCTCCCTGAGGAGATGAGCTTCAGCTAAAACATGAAGGATGAGGAGAAACTGGCCAGGCAAGGAGAGAAGGGAAACAAAAGAACAACATGTGCTGGCCAGGCACAGTGAATCAGGGCTGTAATCCCAGCACTTTCGGTGGCCAAGGTGGGCGAATAACCTGAGGTCAGGAGTTCGAGACCAGCCTGGACAACATGGTGAAACCCCGTCTCCACTAAAAATACAAAAAAAATTAGCTGGGCCTGGTGGCAGACACCTGCAATCCCAGCTACTTGGGAGGCTGAGGCAGGAGAATTGCTTGAACCCGGGAGGCAGAGGTTGCAGTGAGTTGAGATCGCGCCATTGCACTCCAGCCTGGGGGACAAGAGCAAGACTTCCTCTCTCAAAAAAAAAAAAAAAACACAACATGTGCAAGGGCCCTGAGCAAGGAAGGAACTTGACACTGGTGAGGAACTGAAGGAGGCCAGCATGATGGTGCACCATGAGAGAGAGGGTGGCAGTAGATAATACTGGGGAACTGGGCAGAAAGGAGAAAAATAAGTTGGGTGTGGTGGCATGCACCTGTAGTCTCAGCTACTCGGGAGGCTGAGGCAGGAGGATTGCTTGAACCTGGGAGGCTGAGGTTGCAGTGAGCCAAGATCACACCACTGCACTCCAGCCTGGGGAACACAGCAAGACTGTCTCAGAAAAAAAAATTTTAAAAGGCCAAGCGCAGTGGCTCACGCCTGTAATCCCAGCACTTTGGGAGGCCAAGGCGGGCAAATCACGAGGTCTGGAGATCGAGACCATCCTAGCTAACACAGTGAAACCCCATCTCTACTAAAAATACAAAAAATTAGCTGGGCATGGTGGCAGGCACCTGTAATCCCAGTCACTCTGGAGGCTGAGGCAGGAGAATCACTTGAACATGGGAGGCAGAGCTTGCAGTAAACCAAGATCGCACCACTGCACTCTAGCCTGGGCAACAGAATGAGACTCTGTCTCAAAAAAAATAATAATAATTAATTAAATTAATAAATAATAATAATAAAGCGTTAATAGGAGTAGAGCAGACTCTGGTTTACATTTTAAGAAGTTTACGGGCCGGGCGCGGTGGCTCAAGCCTGTAATCCCAGCACTTTGGGAGGCCGAGACGGGTGGACCACGAGGTCAGGAGATCGAGACCATCCTGGCTAACACGGTGAAACCCCATCTCTACTAAAAAATACAAAAAAAAACTAGCCGGGCGAGGTGGCGGGCGCCTATAGTCCCAGCTACTCGGGAGGCTGAGGCAGGAGAATGGCGTGAACCCGGGAGGCGGAGCTTGCAGTGAGCTGAGATCCTGCCACTGCACTCCAGCCTGGGCGACAGAGCGAGACTCCGTCTCAAAAAAAAAAAAAAAAAAAAAAAAAGAAGTTTACGGCCGGGCGCAGTGGCTCAAGCCTGTAATCCCAGCACTTTGGGAGGCCGAGACAGGCGGATCACGAGGTCAGGAGATCGAGACCATCCTGGCTAACACGGTGAAACCCCGTCTCTACTAAAAAGAAAATACAAAAAACTAGCCGGGCGAGGTGGCGGGCGCCTGTAGTCCCAGCTACTCGGGTGGCTGAGGCAGGAGAATGGCGTGAACCCGGTAGGTGGAGCTTGCAGTGAGCTGAGATCCGGCCACTGCACTCCAGCCTGGGCAACAGAGGGAGACTCCGTCTGAAAAAAAAATAAATAAAAAATAAAAAAATAAATAAAATAAAATAAAAAGAAGTTTACTCCAGTTGCAGTGTGGGAAGTAGATTTAAGGAGAAGAGTGTAATTTAGGAGTTACAAAAGTATTGCAGTAAATTCAGGCCAAAATAATAATAATAATAATAGTGGCAGGCTCTAATGTAGTGGCAAGGAAGACAGTGAGAAGTGGA